TGATCGATATTATCTTCAGAAATAGGTAAAAATTATGTGCCATAAATGTATACAGTCCTATAAAAAAAAAATTAAGCAGCTATTCTTAAGATATATTATAACATCGACAGTAGAAATATAAAACTTTTAATAAACCTTTATTAAAATCGGACAGCAGAGGTGAGAGTCGAAGGAGAACCGACAAAGGAAATAAACATACTAAAAGGAGCCAGAAGGGATAAAAATTACACGGAATAAACAAAAATGTGAGATCATAAACGCTAACAAATTGTGTAACCTATATTTGGGTCATATAATGAGAGGGAAGAAATATACATTACTTATATTGATGATGAAATGAAACATAAGGAAGGAGAAACCCTGGCAAACGCAGAGTGTCCGGGCTATGAATCTAAAAGAATGGGTTGGCTGCAGTTATTTATAGATCTTTAAAAATGATGATTTATTTTCAACCTCTGTTATGAGAAGGACAGGAACATACATTCCTTTACTCGTGATCTCCCCATTGCAATTCTTTTCGATTTTACCCATGTAACCGAATTTTAAATTGAAATTCTACTCTTATCATGATTTAAAATATATTGGAGTTAGAGCATGAAGAAGAGTTGCCAGTGACAGTGGTCAATGGAGGAATATTATGAAACAAACTTTGGCTCATAACGAGTTATGTCACTGATCATACTTATTCTCTTATGGTGTAAATGGAGCGTTTCTGCAAAAGTTTCTAGTAAGTACGATGTATGCATCGAAATGTGCTGGTTGTATAAGAATATGCCTTAGATGTGATTGAAGGCTCTAAGGCTTCCGGTAAACTCTTAATTCTTTTATTGCGTTCTTTTGTCTACTTAAGTTGGTGGCTAATACTGGATATTTGTGAACCTACTTAGTTGATTTTGATTTCTTGTTCTATTATATGCTCGTCGAAAGTCAGTTACTTTACTTGTTCGTTTTTGGTCAACTTAAATTCTCACCTCTAACTATTTACTGTACATCATTTAGAGAAAAATTGAAAAATAAATTGTATAAAATCTTGATGGAATTTAAAAATCTTGAACGGTTAATTTACAAAATTGTGAGGAACAATTTGGCATTGATAATATCAAGAGTTATGCCTTTTTAAACAGATACATTTTCTAGCAAACATATTAGTAAATAATTGTAAACACATTATTAAAATATTTATATTTTAACCAGAGTTCCGGTTGATAAGCTAGATTAGTTTAAAGATTAAGCATTTTCTTGAAAACTCCTATATCCTCGTCAGTCCCTGCGGGGGGTAGGCTCTGACGTAGACCTATATGCCTGTTAAATACATTAGGCAAGATCTTTGAAATTCTTGTGAAGACAAGAATTGAGAGGAAGATAATGGAGAAAGGTGTACTCGTCCTCGGCCTGGACGAGGATATTAACAGATATCCAAATATTGCAGAATGGATAAAGTGCGGCGACAGAGACACTAAGTACTTTTTCACCCAATTGCTAACAAGGCACGGCTGCTGAGAGACCTATCTGGAAAGGATAGGAAAGGTTGCAGATAGAAACTGCACGGACTGTGAAGTGGTGACACGGCCGAGAACTGTGTATTCGAGTGCAGTATGTTCCACGAAGATAGAAACGAATTACACAGGAAGGTAGGTAGGGAAGTGCAAATACAGGTAGCAATGATAGGGAAAAACTGAATATAAGGCATTGTTGGAGGCAGTAACTCGAATTGTCAGAAAGAAAAAAATATTAGGGAGGGATCTGCAGCCAAGATAAGAGAGATAGAAAGAGACAGGGAGAGGCAGATAAACAGAGAGAGATAGAGAGAGAGATAGAGAGAGCGAGAGAAGACGGGCTATTCATGTGATGCATCGGTCAGAAGAGGTCCTACCACATGAATAGTCAAAATGCGGAGGTGGACGTTAGGTCGTAGGCAGGGAGTTATGGGTGTATATGTGAGTGCGACTCCTCTGTGGAGACTGCGGCGCGAGGATGGACCGTTCCACTCTGAATCCAACACACACCAGGTCATCCTTAACTAAACACGGCCTGTAACGGTCTTTCGAAGATTTATCGCCTCCTTCCCATAAGAAAGTCCCGTGACTACGTAATTAATTTAAATATTGCGCCTTACCAAACTAGTGTTTTTCAACAGAATCGTTCGTTAAAGCGTTAACTGAGACTCTGTTCAAAAGTGTCACAAATTGATACTGGTTATCAGAAGCACGGGAGTTCATTAAAAAAGCTACGATAATACGGTAAAAATATGGCAAGAATAAATAACAATAAAGAACAATGATTTAAACAATTATTTGAATTATCGCATATGTTAATTATATCTGCGATCTAATGCGTACTCCGACCTTGAAGGCAGTGAAGCTGAAAGTTAAATTGAGAACGAAAATGTATAAGACAATATTACAGAGGACGAGAATGCAAAAGATAATATTAAAAATGAGAATACAGAAGACAATCAGGAAAATAAATATGCAAGAGAAAATTTTTACGATGCATGTAACCAAAAAAGATCTCATGGGGTGAAATTGCAGTCCAAAAAAAAACCAACTGTGTACAGTATGGTATATGTGCACTATATATGGGACTGACGGCGATAATTTATCGTGTTGGTACTATAAAACGTTATTAAAATCTTAAAAAAGTAAAAAGTATTATAATAACGTGTTCAAATTATATAGTATCTGTCTAGTTTAAATGCTTATAAATATTTAAAGCTCTCAAAACATTTTGGCATTAGTTATGTAAACTAGTTGTTGGTACTTTTGAAAACTTATATAAGTTTCTCAATTATTACAGGTCATCAAATAATACGTTTCCTTGAAATTGTACGACAAACAGTATCGGAAACAACGTCAATAACATTCAATGTATAATTTAGAAATCGTCAATGTCCTAAGAATTTTTTATTAGATGATTGTCACAGTTGTTTACTATTCACCCTCTTCAAAGCAACTTCCATTTATTCTGTATGAAGGAAAACAAAGTACAAAAACAGTATTTCTTATACGCTGTGTATATTTGAAATAAGACTATTGTGTAACAATATGGTTATTGGAAAAGCTAAATAATAACATTACGTCTACAGGGTTGTATCGAATATCACACTTTTTTGTAAAATGGTCACATAAATATTTTAGATTATAATAAATAAAATCGTTGCACGAATACACAACTACTAGACACGAAAGTTATTGATATAAAAAATTATAGTAACGCTATATACAAATTAGATATATAAATTATGGTAGACGTAAACTCTGTCTCAAATATATTTCGTTCCTGTTTCGTTTGTAGATAGGATAATTTAGTGCCCAAATAGCATATTAATGAATTCAGTCCAATTTAACAGCATCAAATTCTAACCTATCTGATTGTGCATTATCGAATTTGTGAAAAACTCACAGCACACTTACTAACCGGTCTACAATGGCAGGTTTAGAACGACCAAATACAACCTTCGCTTTCCTGCCGCCAATTATTAACCTCCGTCTATGAATGTTAAGAAATAAATTCGCATCGCCTAAAACCAACCACGTCATAAAAGCTCCAATATTTCCTATGGCCACAAATGATTACATTAGAAATCTACCAAAACAGATCAGTCACTACGACGTGTGACGTGCTGGTAAATTGTAAAGAGTAGTTACCAATTTGTTCCAGCAGAAAATCTCCCACAAAACTGATGGTTCATATAAGAATACTTCCCGAAAGGAATATGACTACAAGTAAGCAAAGATAATTTATTAAGAAATTAGTATGAAAGAAGAACAAAATAAACCTCACAAATTACAGCAGGTATTAGATTTACAAGCACTTTCATTCTGAGATAATGTTGATATTGTATGAAATACCGTAATATTTTCTTTCAATTATAAATTATAATGGAAAATACCAGTGGTTGGCTTTATATCATAGTTTACAAAACTTACAATAAAGTAAATTAAAATGTTTAAAGAAATTATTCAAACAGATTAAAATTATCTTTAAAACAATTTCGGTCCAGTCGGATCATCATCAGTGAAACTTAGAAGTAAGTATTAGCTCGTTAAAATGATTAATACAAAGGGATACAATTTTGGGGGCACGAGTTCGATGTTATAAAACATTACTTTAAGGTAATATATTTATCCCTGCTCGAAAAATGAACAACTTGGTCCAACGGTTGAAACCAGCCAACTGATTAGATCCGGAAGTAAAATTTATTACAAGAATTTTTAATTCTAGTGATATCCTATAACACCAAGCTCGGGTCACCACATTTTTAAAATACCATATTTTTTCATGTAATCTAACGGTTATTAAACCTATATATGTAGCTAGCTAGTTTTAACTACTCTTAATATATAAGTATTTACCACATTTTCATTTTTACAATCAAAATTGGACCTCTTTGCATTAATCATTTTAACGTGGAAATACTTACTTCTAGGTTTCACTGATGATGATCCGATTGGACTGAAAACGTTTTGAAGATAATTTTAATCTGTTTAGATGTTTTAAAAATTTAATAAAAATATACCATCTTACATTAGAACTTTTTATTTCATTGTAAGTTTTTTTAATTACTTGAAATTATTTTGTGTATACCCAACTGATATTTGGTAGAACATTTAAATAACGAAAAAATAGTGAGTATGAATGAACTTATAGTACTTAAAGGAGAACCAAACAAGAATTTTTTCGCTCATCTTCAAGCGCAAAATTGAATTAACAAGTTCATTTCAATGCGTTTGCTGAATTTATTTTGAACTCAGCTTCACTTGGACTCTGGCTGGATTTATGCAGGGTTCACTTGAATGCTTGTTAAATTTACAACGTTACTTAACAAGAAACTGTAAATATGCAGCTTTACTTTCAGGGCTGGCTTTCAATAGGACTGAGTTTACGTTTTCCGATAAATTAAGTTTAAAAATTCGTTTACTAGACCAGTCGTAATAAATATTTTTCGTAGATTGACAACAACCCTGACAAACTTTAGGCAGGAAATAAAAATACGTTGTAAAATATTAAAAGTACATTTTGGAAATGTAAAATTCCAATGACTAAAAATAATTTATCTTATAAATAATTAGTTACCAAATATATATACAGGGTTTTGCCTAAGGCATCTCGGACATATCACAGCTATCCAAAGAACTGGTTTTTATTTAAACGATCTTATTATCATTGTAACTATATAGTGTTTATACAAAATGTTTTTCTTAAACTAATTTTAGATTTATATTTTTTGTAAAAAGACAAATTGTCATCAACGTTTGAGTTATTTTGCAGATTTTAATTTTACTTCCATACTCTTCTTTTTCTTTTGCAATGAGTTGTCTTTTTTATTTGACACTGACGGATAGTAAATGGCAACTACAAGAAAAAATTCATTTCAAAATTTTATTCTTGTTTCTATACTTATTTTTAGAAAACGGAGTTCCAAAACCTTGTTCTTTATTCTATACTTTTTTAAAAGAAATCGAATTATGTTCTTTTATATACGTTATTTTCTCTATGTGATATTCTTTCTTTGATTATAATCTTCCTATATAAAATATTAGGAAGAAAAATGCAGTAAATTCTTACAGCGTTATTGATAACGACTGTCATTTATCAATAGACAACAATTTCTTCCAAAAGAAATCATAAATCATAGGAAGCTACAACAATAACTCAATAAAAATAATAGAAATAAAGTATCTAAGTAAATATTGTTTTAAATTTTATATGAATTTCTTCAAATTTTTAGTGTTCGTATACTCTTTCAAATAATGCTTCTTATTGTCAACATTGTTGTTTAATGCTATTTTTTGGGATGTTACGTTACTAAATTAAAAAAAATAATGTTTTAGATTATACTTAAAAGGTACAAAACAATTTCGATCATTCTTAGGCCTACCAAGAGTATTTACATTTATTAAATATTTAGATTTTGCTTAGAAATCAATTCTTTAGAGCTGCAATAAGTACCCAGACTATCAACGGATCTCAAAAATTTGTTTCTATATAAATTAGGATAAATTTAGGTCATATCAAGACAGTCATAACCGTATAAAGCCACGGTTGGGAATAAGAACACATCAAGTCTGATAAATAGTATACTCAGAAATTGTACCCCATGTCCAACATGCGCGGGTTATTCTGACGTTTCATATACATACGGGAGGAAGGGTTGACAACAAATTTGTTATAAGGGGTACACTCAGATATGGTTTCCGAGTCCTTAGTACGGGGGGCGGTCAAAAATTTCATCGTAGCGCTAACGCTGCCAAACACGCGAGCACTATTAATTTGGCGGCGGTCGGAGCGCCGCCTCCGAGTGTCAATTCTTCACTTTTCACTACCTCGTTGGGATGCTTGTTGTAAGCCTTGGACTTCTTGGTGGTGGTGGATGACGGCGCCGTAGTAGATGTCGTCCAAGTTGTAGAGGACGTCGTGGTTCGTGGCGATGGTACGGACCACCACGACGGCTTTGCCGTTACCGGCGGTGGCGGAACCGTAGCGGGAGTCGGAGGTGGGCCCCAGACTTTGAACACGATCTTCATGTTGTGAGTTGTACATCGACCACCTATCCTCCTATGAGGGTCGTCGCTTGTAGAGGTTGAGATGAAGTAGTAATCATGACCTAGAAAATAATCATTTTAAATATTTGGTAACGCACAAAATACTAATTAGTTAAATAAAATTAAACTTTTTTAGGTACATCTAACAAACACAACATGAGTATTAACCCTAGAACAGCACAGTTCGTTCATCTAAGGTAGACTGCACAGTGGGGTCTCGAAAACCCTAATTTTTTTTGTAATAAAAACAACAAACAACAATATCTCATTTTCAAAATATGTTTATTAAAAAAAACATTTCTCATTAGATCTGATAAACGTGAAAAAACATAAACTAGTGCTTTTATCACACTTTTTTTTAAAATATGGAAATATGACCAAAAAAATTAAATAAATTTCTAGTGAAATAAAACTTGTCTCTTAAAAACCCTTTAAACTAAAATAAAACTTAAATGTTGTTACAGGATAATTATTTCTTACTAAGGTCGATTCGAAAACATCAGTCAAGTCACAGTCCCGGCGTCGAACCGGTCCCGTCTGGTCACAGAACTATTCGTTCGTCTATTCGAACACACCCATAATGCATCAGTCTTCGGCGACCAATCTGTTGAAAAGATGGAAAGTTTCTCGGATGAAGAATTAGCAATAATTGCTATATGTTTGGACGAGGAGGAAGCGCAAGCAAACCAAGCAAAACGGCGGAAATGGATCCATGACGCATGGAAAAAAGGGATACCGAAGAAGAATACGTGACACTGTATAAAGAACTGCTTCGTGATGATGTAAAATTTCATCAATATTTTAGGATGTCGAAAAATTGCTTTCTTGCCAAATATTATTTTTAAAATTAATGTCCATGTATTTAGCATGCGACAAATCATATAAAACATTATATTTTCTCAAACATTCTATTAATTGTTTGTCAATAATTTTATTTTGTTCACTTGTACCGCCCGTCATGTTCCCGGCAAAACCAAAAAATTAGTGATGAATGTGAATGTCGGCGGCATATTTCAATTAAAGAATATTTTGTATGACGGATTGTTCGGTTCGGCGCCGGGACTGTGACGAGACGTGACTGATGTGTTTGAATCGACCTTTAGCCAGGCACTTAAACTTTGGTTCTGACACACATAACATAATTGAGCTCGATGTTCTAACAGTACAGTTTGTGGTACAACGAACAAGCAGAACTCGTTTTCGATCCTTTCCACGGGGACAAAAGCAGCATCTAACTTTTTTAGGCAAACTAACATCAAAATTATCTCTTTGATGTACATTACTCCTAATAATTCGGTAATTTTTACACGTAGGGTTGTTGGCAAATTGGTAACTTGTATTCTTTTTCTTAAATTGAAGTGCGGTTCAATTAATGCAGTTGAAAGTTCTTTTAAAAATGTTTTTCTATCGTGTTTTCGGTCATCTTTCCATTGGGGATTTGCAAGTGAAAATATATCCATAGCATTTATGCCGCCAGCATCCAACATATTGAAAAACATTCTGAGAGGCCAGCGTCTAGTTTTACGGGAAGTCGTGTAAGAGTGGCACATCTGATCAAAGGTGTCTGTGCCACCCTTTTATGTGTCAAAATAATATTATGCAAAAAAGTTTACCACTCCAAAACACAAGCCATTTTATTCAAATCCTCAAATTGTCGCGATACCCAGGGCCGGATAACACTTCTGGGGGAAGACCTCATTCTCAGAAACTCGGTTTCCTACTTGGGAGTTCACTTTACTAGGACTCTCAACTGGAAAACCGACGTTCAAGATACCCTAGATAGGATGAGAAAGAGGTTTAACCTCCTGAAGGCGCTGTCCGGTAAAATGGCGGGACATCTTCTAAAACCTTATTGCACACCTAAAAAACATTCGTTAGATCTCTGAAGACCCGCCAAATTAATGTCATAACGGCAACCCAACGAACAATCCTCAGATACTGCATGAGGAAGGACTGGTATCCATCAGCACACATATACATTCTGGCTAACACCAATTAAGGACAGAATCCCATCCCTCAGCAGGATGTCCTAAGAACCATACCAAACAAATATTAAAGACTCCATGCAATCACCGAGGGCAAATACTCACCAGGCTTCCCACAAGGAAAGTTCTGTTTACTCCAGCAAAACTTCTTTATAACACTGGACATGAACTTCCTGATGAGTATTTTGATATCTTAGAATCATTCCCAATCAAATATCGCAGTTAACCACTGCACGCCAAAAACACTGATAAAGAGCCGTTCCTTCTGTATGGCTGGTAACCCACGAAGTATCTGATCTGACATGCTAAACAGCTACCGACTTCCTTTTGTGCGCTTCTTAGAGTCGTTCACACACACACACACGCCACCTTCTGAACCCCCCTGCTTCTTAGTAGTCCACTACTTCTCCACCAACTCAGTAATTTACGTTTACCACACCCCCACTACTCCAACAAAAAAAGGAGTGTCCCATTCCTTGAAGAGGTTCAAGCCTAAACAAGGTCAAAACTCAAGTGTCATGTCCTACCCTCCGGTTTCCCCCTAAAACCCCCCCTAGTTGACAAAAAGAAGAAATCGATTTACTATGAATCTGTACACCGTAGAAACTAATGTTACAATTAAAAAAGGTAGCTGAGGTAATTTTGAACAAACATGTTTATTAGCACTTTTTTTATAGAATGGACTGTTCTCTCAGAATTAACGCTTAGCGAGCGGCGATGTTTAATGTCAGTTACGCGCGCGAAATCAATTTCTATCAACTCGACGGAAAAAATTCGATATCTTTTGATCAGTGTCCTATCGACAAAAATAAAAATTCGTTTTAAAGGTGAAGCCTGTAGGTTTTATATGCACTTTTTGTATTTTGCCTGAAGTGAAGTCAGTTTCTATAAATCTGTTCAATACATAAACGTTGCGCGATTTATGCCACTTTTTACGATTTTCATAAGATCAATAATATTTATCACTTCCATTGATCAGTCGTAGTGGAATTTCCATTGTTGGAGTCTTATCTTTAAATTTCGGTTTTGTTTTGGCAACAAATATGAGGCATTTGAACTATGCCTAAAAAACGCAGATTTTAAACTTACACATTACAAACGATCGTACGTCTCGGAAAATGCAACCAAGAAGACAATATTGGGTGGAATTTGTAGAAGAAGTTATATAGTTTCAAAAAACGTACTTGTGTATTCGAAAAGAAGCAGTTTTAAACTTTTGAGATAGTTTGTAATGTGAAAGTTTAAATTCATGGTTTTTAGGCATATTTAAAATACCTTACATATGTTGCCAAAGCTCAAAACCGAAATTTCATGCTATAGGTTTAAAAATCTAGATCCTAAAAATGGAAATTGCATAGTGACCAGTCAACAAAAGAAATAAATTCTATTGATCTCATGAGAATCGTAAAAAATAGCAAAAATCGCGCAGCGTTTATTTATTTAACACCTTTCTAAACTTTCTTTGGGCAAAATACAAAAATTGCATACGAAAGCTGCACTCTTCACCTTTAAGACACAATTTGATTTTTGTCGATATGACACTCCGATCAAACGACATCAAATTTTTACTGTCGAGTTAATACAAATTTCATTTAAAATTGATTTTGCGCACGTAACTGACATTTAAAACTGCCTGTCGCTTCAAACATTTTTTCTGAGAGAACGGTTCTTTCTACACAAAAAGTCTTAATAAACATGTTCGTTCAAAATTACCTCAGCTACATTTTTTATTTAAAACATTTTTTTCTGCGGTGTACAGCTTCTTGGTAAATTAATTTTAGGGGAAGGCCGGGGGTAGGAGTGGTAAACTTTGCATCTTCGCAAAAATGCATATTTTTTGGGGAGCCAAAATTGATATTCTCGGCAAAAATCAGCTTATGGTGTCGTGTATTATAAGTAGAGTAGTATAAGTAAGTGTAGAATAATCATAAACGGTAAAACATGGTCTTCTTGAACCTGTGTCAGGTACCTGTGCGCAGTCAATCTCCCATCCTCGATAAAGACTAACTCGTACGAACATCAAACTATAGGCATCCTCATGCAATAACTGACTCTCTACCAAATGGAAGTCGCTAGACAACACATGCTTGAGCATAATATGTCTCTCCTAGACGTCGCCACAATCATCGAAAATTAATATACGATTCCAATCCTGTATTATCCAAGCCAAGTGGACAATTAGATGTTCACGGGAAAGCGGCGGCCCAGTTACTCTAGTTCGATAAAATAAACCAGCAGCATGAAGTTGACTCCTAACTGTCCATTCACTAAAGTTTACATTTCTTGATTCTTGGAGATGATTTGAAGAGAAACTGTCATGATTGTTTGGTTTCTCACAGCACTAGAAACGATAAAGTGGTCATCTCTAGCTGTTCTAATTCTGCCTTGACTTGAACCATATCTTATAACACCGAGACAATTCTTGTCGTCACAACAAAACCTATACTCATTGTAATACACTGACAGTGGCAACACTATACAAATAATAATTCTTAATTAACATTTAAACCACAATCTCAAAAATTATGCTGATAATGGTTTTTACGAATTAGGTTAAGGGCTTCTTTTTACCTCAAACGATTATAGAAACAGTAACAACAATTTTTTTCAAGCAATCGTTTAGTAAATTATGTTACCGAAAATAGTTCCAAAATAATAATTTCTAAAATAAATTCGAATTATGGGGTGCCTATAAGGACCTAGAAAAGCTAGAGCTAAGATTACTACTATTAATTAAGAATTAACATTAAACTCAACAGTCTTTAGGTTTGAACCGCATCGATTATAATTGCGTCAAGCTTTCGACATCCTCTTTGATATGTGCGTGGGAATTGGCGCGGGTATAGGCAAGGAAAGGCGCGGGTATAGGCAAGGAAAGGCGCGGGGACTGGTGGCACTGGCGCGAACATTTATGACAGTAGAATTTTGATTGGCGGGGTAGCGGACGGTATTTTCTTTATGAGAGGTCTCCATGTCGAAGGCAACCGTCTTCCGTCATCTCTTTAATTGAGATAATTTTGCCTTTTTTCAATTTCTATGGCTTCCCGGATAATTCTTGATAAGTATATAAAAGCGGT